CAATCTGCAATTTGACCAAAATGCTCCTCAATCGTAGGCAGAGAGATCTGTGTAATCTTGGTCTGACTACTAACGTAGAGATCATCGATAACCCAGTGAATTGGTTGCAACCAGTTTCCTAACCGCAGCCACTCGCCCCAGGCTGAGGCTTGTCCAGTAGCTTGATTTTTCTGATGTGCCAAAGATGTTCGAAATCCAAGGTGAGTAAGTAGCTTCGACTTAGTCTTTCTTAACAAACGACCCGAGGGATTCTTGCTATGTCTTCGATAAAAAAAACGGGGCTCGCGAGCTTGGAATTGCATCAGTTTTTATGTCAACATTGAACTGCACTGCACCAACCGGTGAGAGACCTTCAGGAATTTTTACGGTAAAACATAGCCATATTCTGAAATCAGATCGCGAACCCGTACAGGAACGATTTCGTTTGCGGAGATTGGGGAAACTTTTATCGCATAAAGCTCGACGTATTCGTTTCTACGCACATACGATGGACTTAGAGGCCCCTGTGGTACAGTAACGTGATAACACCGAGTAACTTCTAGTTCACTGTTGCACGTATGGGTCTTTTGTAGCATAAGGTGAGCTGATGCCCAATCCTCATGCGGGGCGTACTCTCAATACCAAGAAGCCCAAAACTCACGCGTTGGTGGGTATCGAGAGGATTATGAGTAGCTAGTATGCTTGCAAATTCTCCTTCACTCATTTTGACAGTTGCTTTGACAATTGATAGCTTGGATGTCACGGTTAGAGAACCATCGAATCGCTTTAGCTGTTCCGACTTTGACTGGTAACTCTTGAGGCTAATCGCGGGGATTTACATTAGTTGAGGCTCCACAATTTAGTGAAACTGTCATGGGAAACCATCGGTACAACTGCGTACACACAACAAAGGTGGATGTTGGTTGACCACATGTCCTTCAACGATGCCGATTGTGTACTGATCAAACAGGTTTCCATTCTCATTCTCTTCTCATATCTCTTTAACGCTGTTGATCATGCCGATACGATCAGTCGGGCGCAATACCAAACGGCTCCTCGGCCGTATCGGGCATTCTGCGAGTCGATGTCCTGGCTGTTTACAATAAAATAACAATTTGCGCTGGAAGCACTCGTCTTTAGATGCAACTTGCGCAACATAATTTCCATAGGATCTGGTCGGGCATCGTCGAAGCGAAGACAAGACCCTGGTTTTTGTCGACGAAGCTGTTCCGGCCGTCCTGAGGGTTCAAAACCGATATGAGAATACTTGAAATAATAAGTAACGTTTATGGATTGACTCAAAGACGAGCATCGTTGATACTTGATTTCAGCGCGAGTTTGATTCTTTTCAACCCTGCCTGAATCAGAAAATTATGTCAACATCGCTCGTTTCCCGAACCTAATCATCAGCTGTCGGACCAGTTGACTAAGTCCCCAAGGTTTCGGCACTGAGCTTGAGTCAAAGAAAAAAGTCGGTCAAGAAGATGTACCTGAAGGTCTGCCGGTACAAACACTTGCTTCAGGTAAAAAGAGCTCATTTACAGTCGTTTCTTGTTTCTTGACCAAACAAATCACTCCGTCTCAGTGCCTGTGAGCGTGCTCCGAATAGTTGGAACTATCGTTGCTGTCAATGTCGCACACTTCCAATTGACACGACGTACTGTAAATTACTGCTGAACTCGCTCTTTAAAGAGCGCAACCGACTTCTGCACGTGTACTCCGTGAATGGGAGCCTTCACTGCGTCCAAATGTAATTACTGGAGCGTCATGGCCTCAGCTATCTCTCTTATAATCAATTGCTGTCGCGACATCATCGCCAACATGCTTTGCATGAGCTCCGCAATTTGAGGACTGTCCACTCACGGCTATCAAAAACTTCGCCACGGTCGGGTCAGTTTCGGATCGGGTTTAAGTTCTGCGTGTGGGTCGTTGGACTAACAAGTGATACTAGATACGGTGTCTTGTCCTGAATGTACAAAAGAGATTTTCTTAGGTCTTTAGTTCACACGCGAGCTGCTACAATAAGCCTACTGGATTCCAAGCAAAAAATGTTTGAGATGTCACCGGTCGCATCGTATACACATACGTCCTTCAATTACTGCGCTTGACAATTGCAAGGCGTGGGATTGCCTTTTCAGTCCGCAATATTTTTGAAAAATGAATCGCACTAAGTGCGCTTGTAATTTCAGTCCACAATTACTCCAGAGCGGGAGCGCCTTGCGCTAAATTACGCCCTCCGCAATCATAGAACTTTCCACAACATCAAAGTATTAAATACATTGCAAACGTAACTTCTTCGGGAATCATAAGACTGCGAAATGAATGTGTCATATCTTTGATATGTGCATATTGTCTAAATCATTACTTATTTCTAAAACATTGTTTGACCTTCTTTGCCAAGGCATGCTTCAGGCACTTGGAGATGCTGGTAAAGATGATAAATTATTTTCTTAGCGACAACCGATGGACGTCCGTGATATAGTGAAGGCCCGCGAATATAAATTTGGTGACGGTGGCTTTCTTTTTGCAGTTGTATGATCGCTGTAATGGCATGGCTCCGTTACGTGATAGTTTACACAAGGTAAATATCCAGCAGGAATATTCTGTTAGTGTGCACGAACAGAAAATTCTCACAATATTAGCTTAATGAAAAATATTGTGTCGCAGAAGTAATACGCTGCTCGTTGGCCGAAATTGATTTATGATATCAACCAGCCCAGCCGAGACAACGGCAGAAGAATGCACTGAGTGGGTAGCAGGTAGCTACAATACATGTTTGTATTTCGAACGATTAAATGAAGACGTGATTTAATTTTTAAAAGAAGATTGACTGCACTAAATACATTGCCCTTTCTCTCGAGTTGAAACCTTCCATTGCACGACACGTGTACGTGAAGCCTCGAAGCATCACCTTACTCTCTGTTCAGTGTAAGCAGCTTGTACTGTGAAAGTACAAGCAACCGGTGCCCCATTACAATCTCTTAAATCATCGTCAAGAGGTTTTACTACTCCATCAAATTGTCAAGATCAGTTTCGAGCAATTGCACACCTTAAAGCTCTCTTTAAGACCATGCATAAGCAGTCGCTTCTCAGTTAGACTTAGCAGCACTAATTTTAAAGCGTGTACTTAATCTTCATCTCTCCTTTACCACCACTGTAAAGAAGAAATCGTGCTGCGTAAGTACGTCATCAGCGGCACCGACTAGGATCTAGTGGATGAGAGATACCGCTTCTACACTAGTTGTAGTACGTCAGCATTGATTACATTGTTGTTTATTCTAGCTTTTCACCATCATCCTAAGACTTTGTTTTCCTGAGGCGCATATGAAGAGCCTCATTTGTATAATAATTTTGTCCTTTCTAAATACAAGTGTGGGGTTAATGTTCAATGATCTCGTCCTGCAGTTTCCCTTGGGATCCCGTCCTGCACGAGATGGAACATAGGATAAGCTGATCCCGCCCCATCCCGAGTGGAAAGGATCCTTTGTCTGTGACCTATCCGAAGGCGTGTAGAAGACGTAGATTTATCCGACGGCGTGCTGTTCTTATCGATGCGTCGTCGGAGAAGCATGTTCGTCTACCTTCATCGCGTCACGCCACACTCCCTTTGAATAATTGCTTGGAAGTTTGCGTTCATACACTTGATACGCCTCATTACCGCACGCATCGAGAAGAATAATTGCGTGAGAAACCCTCGCATGTAGCAAGCAACTTATTATAGAGCCCTTGCGCTCTTTTCCACAGATTTCAATCCTTGACAAAAAAGGTAATCTGATGTTTTCACTTGCAATCCTCAGCTATTTCTTATACACCGAGAGATAGACCATGTCATACAAAACGGACATCTCTGGGCTCGTACCTCTTTCACACTACGGAGCGTACATTTGCTATAGTTTGGCTTACACCACAATTACGGGATCATAGAATGCAATACCCAAAACCCCGATCATTCATACATTTGCTAAGAAAAAAAGGTCGGAATACCAGATTTACATTTCCTCAACCCTCCGACCACAAGACTAATCATGGTGCAAAATCAATTTCTTGTAAAGGTGTAATGCACTGATTCTATTCTTCACTGATACGAGGTCCATTGCTTGTCAAGCTTAACCCATTAGCCTTTCGCTTATAGAATCTGAATTCAGGGCCACCTTCCTACGTAGAATTTGGTGCGTTACGACGGCTCCAAATCTTACACGTTGGTTTCCCCATTCTATCACGAACATAAGGAACAAAGAATGTAGCGCGTTCAGGGATGTGTGTTTTGCAGTACGTCCCCAAATGAAGATGAAGACCACAAAGTTGCCTGATGCAGATTGTGGCTCAGCTGGCTGAACACATTTAAAAGCGATAAATGACACCAGGAAGTTGATGGTGAAGACGCCATCGGAGTTCGAATTTGCAACGGAAGAGGCATGCAGCTGAATCAAGCTGTTTGAAAAGGGATGGAAAATACAAGGTGCACGTCGAGTTAGCACTCGTCTCCAAGAGTGGCATGACATGGATCACTGAAGGGTGCACACCGGTTGAACGCTTGGTTGAACAAATTCCTACCTTTACAACCACCACGGGACATGCAAATGTGCTTCGTGCTCTTCAATGAAGACTTAGCTCGAATGCTACATAATAGTGGATACCTCCGACGTGTACCCTTCCGTTGTTTTATCCGCTCGTCACGTATCCGTGAAATTCATCGTCACCGATAGTAGATGGAGGTTATCACCAGAAATGTTGCACGGTGCAAACTTTGCGGATGGGCAATACGCCTTCCTGTCATCTTATTGAGCTCAAAGATTTGTTAAGTTTATGCTTCATATACCGTCGGAAAAGTGACCACTTGCTACTGCTAGCCCTCGTTCACACTCGATTTTCTCGTGCGGACACGTTGATTCGATCCTTAAATCAAGCGTGTAAGGGAGGCGAGCTCCATGCATCTGACGTTGACCAACGTAATGCTCAGTGTGCTTGCGAGCTTACCCCTTACTACCAGTGCTGCACTCATATCGTCTTCACAAAACGACATGGTGACAGCTCGACAAGTGGAGCCAGCCGGTGACGTGCAAGGCGTGAGCAAAAGGTTTTTGCGCCTTGTCGTCAGCAACGACGCGGAACTCGGCTACAAGCGCGTAGCGGAAGAACGACTTATTGGAATCGAGAAGATCTACGAGGAGCTTAAAGCAGTCATGAGGAATTTCAAGCTCGACGAACGCGAGATTGGCTGTCAAAAGCTGAGCGACATTTTCGGGAGGATGGTGGAAAAGGACAACGACGTAGCGACTCTCATGGGTCTAGAAGGCGTGACTGGTTCACAAGCGCGTGATATCCTACGCTACATCGAAGAGTTCATCAGAGCAGACAAATTTGATTTTACGCCAAGTGATGCCTACAATTTTATGATGAGGCGTAGCAAACTCCACGAGACTGCAAGTGCTTACGCCCACCTGTACGAGAAGTTCCGCGAACACAAGAAGTTTTTCTTGAGTCTCCAATGGCACTGGATCGTGTACAACAAAGATTTTTGGGCGGCCAAGGAGGCACTGGAAACGAACGCGATTAAAGACGCTGCAACAAATTAGTAGACCTTCCAGTAGTAAGTAGTGGGCCGTCTAATACATACTACCTCTGCTCCATTGTCGATGTCCCAAATTGAGCGTTTGTTTATTTCGTGATGTTTGTCGTTTCTGTTCTGCAAACAAATTTACTAAGGCAAGATGGAAGCCCACCTGTACCCGTCAGTGTGAAGAGAATGCTCTTTAGAATGATACATTTAGTTACATCTGATTATAAACGCTCGCTAATTATCGAGACAAGTTTGTGTAATTTACGCTAAACGACGTGTATAACTAAAGCCGCAATAAGGACGCATTACATGCGATTTGGAACTTGAAGATCAAACAGCGGTGTTCGCCCTTAATTAATCTGTGGCATAATCCCTACCACTTAAAAATTGCTGGCTTAGACGCTTCGCAATTGACGTCGGTGATAGCCCTTTTTCATAAGTGATGTTTTCCAAGTGTACATTTCTGGCCTTGCGGCTTCTGTAAAAGGTGACCAACGCTAGCTGAAAGAGCACAGAATACGCTTTACTTTGAGGTTCATTATCCAATCAGGCTAATCAAAATGAACTTTTGTTTTGTTTGTTTCGTGAAAAAAGACAAAATGTCGAAACGGAGGGAGTATATTTTCCATCGAACGGCATCCTCGAAACATTTTTTACTTCATCAGATCAACTTGATAGGCCAACAATTGGCTACCTCGCCCAATACATTAGATGATCGTTTTTTTGTAGGGTGACGAACTGTTGCAAGCTGCGACACAGAAGCTGTCTATACTAGCCTTCCCTGAGTGCGGTGTCACAGCAGGTACACATTTGTGATATTAATCGCGTTGCTTCACCTCTCGTCTACAACCAAAATTTATTGCACAAGGTGTTACAAATGCAAGATGCAGTTGAATGGTTTCTTAACATAGCGAAGATTACACACGTCTACACGAACGGATGCACTTACCTCTTCACACTAAGCAAGCAAGTCATCCAGTCACTCAAAAAAATTACTTGAACGTCATGAGCCCAACAATCGGATGTATAAATCCTTAGCATGCAATCAATATTTTCTTCACCACCTAATATATGTATATTGATGTGCAAAATTAGAGATTCTTAAGCTAGGCTACGAACGCTAGAAATCAACCATGCACTGAGACTTAGCTGCACTTGTGTCCACTGTCAGGGCGAAGATAGTGACGACGTGAAAAGAAAATTAAAGAAATTTTAGAGATCTAAGCATTCGGCATAATTTTATTTTGTTCGATATCAGCAACTCCAATGACACAGATAACGAAGCAATGGCAATCCGGTCGATCAGCAAAAGAAGGCTGCGGATTTATGTAATGTCGGTAGCTGGTGTTTTCTTTACCAAATAAAGCGGACTAGGACGCTTGGCAGTTCGATGTTGCGAACCCTTTGTGCCGAGACAACAATTGCAGATTGAAAAAAGAGACACTTCGATCACGACTTTTCCAAGTAAAGGCACTTGTGGTCATGCAAAATGTCCACAGTATTCGCTATTTTCTACACCTGTGTAACATAGCGTGAGAATATTTAAATCGCATGGTTATCATGTAATGTATTACAAAATGAGAAGAAATAACAACAGCCATTCCAGCGCTTTGTACGTTACGAACCGCCCCGTTCATGACGACATTATCATTAGCAGGGTTGGACCCGCAGAATCTCGAATCAACACCAGTTGGATACTTTGGTTTTAGCAGTTGCAGTCGCACTAGGTATGTCTGAAATGAACTGATACCCATGCATACCTAATAAGTAAGAGCTCGGTTAATTTAGCTTGTCTTGATCTGTTTCATCGCTTCTTAAGTAGAATTTAGGGGCATAGAAGGCAGTTAACCCAAGACACGCTATCAACAATCGGTCATTTTATTAATAACCGTTCCTAATGCTGCTCAAATATGAACTCAGCATCTTAGAGCGTTGGCAGCGAGCTATGGTTTTAATATAAGCACGGACCTGACCTGATGCCTCACACTTTGACTAACACTGTTGTGCTGTACATCTCATTGTTTGACGCGAGCCAAATTTGCAACGTCGGTATTACCTAACTCGTTCTCTTACCTGATGCCATCGCCAATTACAATAAACATAGCATGGTCATGCCTGGAGTGATCATAATGGTAAGTAAATGATATCGCGTGATGTGCCTCTCAAAATTCAAGCCGAGCCAAACGCATAATTTGCGGTACCGCGCTCCACTAAGGACAGCACCCACTTCCAATAAAAAACGTGGGAATGTGCTCCAATGTCATCAACATACTGAGGATACATCGTCCAATTTGAGCACACATACAGCAAAATCCACTGAATCTTTATCAGCTCATCTACACCAGACTCAGTTGAAGCCTAGATTCTAGGAAGAGTGCATCTTTATAACGTAGACTTCCATTTGATCGCATACGATCAATTTGTTGCACTCAAGTGTTTTTGTCCTATGCTTGAAGCAAGCAAAAAATCAAGTGTGTTGATCGGATAAAATATAGTTGTGCGTGATGACGCTCATCCTTCAATAATTTATGACCCTTAATTAATGGCCGAGACTACTCAAAACGCACCTAACTTTCGCTGCCGCTGGACTGCGTACGTTACAAAAACAGGTGGCGCACCCCCGACAACGCACCGATAGACGGCTGGTCAGTTTTCTCTATCGTACTTGCAAATAAAGGGGAGTGTTAAAATTGTTTAACAATGGTGGGGCAAGAAGAGCAGCTTAGAAAGCGAAGAGCTTATTCACCGTCAAACATTGTTAATAAAGGTGCTAACACTTCCACTGAAGGAGATGAAAGGGAGAGAAAACAAGAGGAAGACTGTTGATTTTTCTGGAAGGCCCCTGACAGACGATGACTTGCGTCAGATCACCTGTAATGAGCAGCAATTTATAGAGTGTATTGTTTAACCTCTCTATCAAAGGACAACCTCTCTTTACCACTACAATTCTATTTTTGTGGCAGCATTAATTTCTAGCGGCATGGGAGTGGGGTATGATGTGCATGCGTGCAGAAATTGCTTACCCGAACTTTCTGGCATACAAATATTAAGGCTAGATAGTGCACTAAACCTAAAGAAAAATCATGAATTTAGTCTTTTAGGAATGGATGTGGGCTGGATTTTTGTTTAAAAACTCAAATGGATCAGTCAAGAAAGCCCTATATCTGCTGATTTGAGTCATACCATTTTCTTTTCGATCCACTAAATGCAAAGTTGCAGGGATTGGTCGCCTTTAAAATCTTCAAAGCTGCACAAATTTAAAGTCAGTGTGAAATTACAATTGCTGGTAAGCATGTGATCACTACGTTCGATCTGGGGATAGTGGGGGGGGTGGTGGAGTGTTGTTGGGGGGGCCCCCGCCCGCTCAGCGGGGGGGGGGGGGAGGGGGTTGGGGGGGGGGGGGGGGGGTGTTGGGGGGGGGGGGGGGGCTGAGCACTTTCCATTAAAGCACCGTCAAAATATTAGATTACAAGAAGGATGTGGTACGTTTAGCGATACCTAGTCCTTTTGTACTTTATAGTAATACTGTTAGTCACGTCTCTTGGTTAATGGTGTTGCACTATAGCGAAAATCAAGTAAAGCGTAAGTTCGGATGTAGGTGGAAGTGTAAGCAAGATTAATTTTCTCGAAATGCTTGATTCCGACAACCTAATGATCGTAAATATGTGCACTTAAAGAGTACGATAGAGCTTTTGTTTTCTGCAACGTGCATATGAACGGGACAAAGTCTGTGTGCTCCGCCATGAAAGCAGTCCTCGACATCATAATAAATAGTTTTATCCTTTTTTTCCTGATCGTGCACAGTTTTCCGCGTTTAACTTGGTAGCCTTCCACTGACAGGCGGACATACAAAACCTTTCCATGCAATCTCAAGCGACGAGAAAGATCTAATAGTCTAGTGGTGCTAGCGGCTGGTGTAGTGGCATCCTTGTCATCTTTAAGTAGGCGTGTCATAAAGTACCATTTAGTACGTCTAACAAAAATCGTATTGCTAAGTAAAGTGGGCCGAGGTTCATATAACGGAAGGGTGTGGTTCAAATAACAATGCCATTTATTGAACGTTTACCAAAAATGCCAACTTACCTTGAGCCAAAGGTGATGAGAGATGCCATATCCACCCTAAGGAGCAGACAAATGAAACACTGATGCGTAGTAGACTTATTGACAATGAAGCGAAAAACCACCGCAGGGTCATTGATGGACACACCAAAATACGTGGTGACCATCTTTCAGCCGAATTCTGCAACCACAAAAATTTCGTTCTGCCGGTGACAACGTCAGTACAGGAATGCGGTCCTATTAGTGACGCACGATATCTTCGTTCAGGTGCTGAAATTATCCATGTGGAATTCAACGTATCAATTAACAAAATTTCAGCTGAAATAGAAGAAAAAGACAGGACAGAAGTCCTTCCACTGCCGCTGTAAATATGTACCACTCAAGCTCATTTTGGCGTGACTACAATCAATGACATCCGAGTGCCGTTTTATACGTCAGCTCAAATACCGTCCTCATCAAATAGATCATTCAGTGCCAAAAGAATCATTTTTTTAAAATTGCATAATATGGTCTACCTTCTCGTTGTAAGCATTTGCACAAGATGGTAAAAATAATGTTTGCTTGTGTGCACCCATCAAATTTTCCTTCGATTGATTTTGACTAGCACGGACAGAAATTGTTGAATTCAAGCACCATCAAAATATAACGACAACGGATTGTGCTTGTTGACGGAGAAAATTTATGTAATAAGCCAGATCTGCGGTGAATGTAAGTTGCTTTTGTAGATCCATTATATAGACTTGTGGTTTAGTTTTGGCACCAAAACGCAATCACGATGCTTAGTGTAGCAGTGCTACACAGCTCGTTAAGTCAGAGGAACACTTAACGCTCTACGAGCAACTTAGTTCTAAAGAATTAACGACTCTACGAGTCAACAAGCTTTACAGCTTCAGGTCCCTGTTCCAGGCAACCTAACTAGTGAATCGACAGCACTCAGTGCTCAAGAGTAGCTACCTC